CATCATCAAATAGTTGACACCAGCAACTTTTGTATTTTCATGTGGTTTCGCGTTTCTTGAAATATTGGCATGGGCATGATTAAGTGCAGAGTTTTTTGTTGTCCAGAAGTAAGATGGCTGGTTCACGGGTCGCCTACCAGAAAATGAAAAATTGAGTTCAAATGCTTTCCCTCATGTCACTTTAGCATCATCTGTTGGTGACCCAAATAGATATTCTCAAAGATGCAGTCCTTAGAAATATAGCTTATCTCTAAGTAACTTTGAGTTTATGCAAAATCTTCGATTTACATTGCTTGAACATAGTCTAGAAAGTCTTCCCGTGACTCAAGTTTGGGGAAAGCAAAAGTCATGTTAATTTCATTCTTGTAGTAAAATCTTTAAAACTATCATACACTTTTGCACCCTGAAATTTCAAAACCATTTGAATGTTAATCCATATATCCAAGTGTCAATCACCTCAGCCAAGGCATACATTATCCTGAACAGAAAATATAATTAGTATCTTTTAAGATCTCATTTAAAGAAATCTCATTCAGAAAACACTTCCCAATATCCAGCATTAGTATGTGATTTTTATGATTCTGATAGTGCAAATGTGTAGCTGAGATGGGATTTGCTTCTATTAATTTGTTACATTCTCTCGTTTTGGCATGGGTATGATTTAAGTGTCGTTTTTCTTTTCTTTTTTCCAGAAGCTAAGATGGCTGGTTCGCGGGTCGCTCATGTCACTTTAAAAGGACCAAGTGTAGTGAAGGAGATACTGATCGGGATCGCACTTGGGATTGCTGCTGGTAGCGTGTGGAAAATGCATCACTGGAATGAACAGAGGAAAGTTCGAGAATTCTATGACTTGCTAGACAAAGGCGAGATTTCCGTGGTTGCTGCCGAGGAATGAATATTTCGAAAAACTTCTGAAAATTTTCCTTATGAATATTTCGAGACAATTGTGATTTTAAATCCAAATTAGTTGGCTCTTGAACAGGGCACTAGCTATTTATGTTTGAGATTTATATTCCAAATAATTCTTTTGTGATTTACAACTGCTGCTTAATTTGATATGCAGAAATGGGGAAGTATTTGAGATTTTTGCTCCGTTGCTTTTTGGTTTGTGCTTTGTGGTTTGTGGGTTTTACTTTTTATGTTATATGGGTGTGAGTGTCTGTGAGTCTGAGTTTGCTTACGAAATTGGAAGGGTAAATTCGAATTTTCAGGTTGGTATTTTAATTTATAACTATTGAGATTTTGTTGTGAAAATTTTTTCCTATTATTTCCATGTTTTATTTATTATTATTATTCAATAATTTTAGGCTATTAGCTGTAAAATACTATGTGAAATAAATAGTTGTGAAATATGTGAATGAAAATAACCTATTAAAATAAAATGAGATACCAGAATAAGATTTGCAGTCATTTTTTTTTTTTTTTTGATTTTTAAGTTACTAAACATACAGTCAAATAACTGATGAGTTCCGATCAACAAAAAACGAGGGAAAGAAAATAGAAAGACAATTGCTCCAAGCCTAGGAATTTTGCGACACAAATGCCCACTTCGCCAAGTTGCGAGCCACCCCATTCTGGTCCCTTGGCACATGATCGCATCGACCGCAATTGAGGAAAAAGAGGAGGGCTCTAATATCGTCAAACACTCCAAGCAGTGGATCGAGATTATCTTGGTGGAAAATACCACTGACGACTCCTGAAGAGTCCGTGAAAACCGACTGAAGATTCAGGTCTAAGTCCATAGTAGTTCGTAACCCATATCGAATAGCTAAGGCTTCCGCCAGAAGAGGGGAAAAAGAACTCGTCATACAGGCAGTAAAGAACGTCATACAAACTCCTGTAGAATTTTTGATCCATCCACCTAGTCCGATCTCTGAGTCTCGAACTGCCGCATCACAAAGCAATGTTCAACCGTTGTTGCAATTCCCTGACCCTCTCCAGAGTGCTATAGAATCCAAATTTGGGCGTAGTCAATTTAAAACCCAAATATAACCAAATCATTTTTCGAAAAAAACTAATTACCAATCTTAATTCATCCAGGGAGTTTCATGTAATTTTGCTCTTTTTCATTGCTATTGTTCTGTTTTTCTTTTTTATGGCTTGTCAACAAAGAAACACTAATATCCTTTAAAAAAAAATGAGATAAAAACTCAAATCCCTACTAATAAAATTTCAAGACTGAGAAAGAGAGCAAAAGAGTACAGAGAAACCAGCTGCAGAAAATCTGGTAAAGGGAAAAAAAAATGAGCAGCATAGGCACCGG